CTGCGGCAGGTTGTTCCAGGTATTCACCACTCTTCGTTCGAAACAGTTGGTGAGCTACCCGCTTCAACTGCGGTACGATAAGTTGGTACCGGTGTCCTCGCGTGCCGCTTGGTGTGCGCAGATGAAGCAGTTGTCTCAACATGGGGTAATCACTCAGATGTAGTATCCGGTGCGTCATGATTAGGTCAACCCTCAGCCGACGATATGCTCGGGTGTACAGCCCTAGTTTCTTACATCGGTCTTCATATGGCATACCTCGTAAGTTGGGAATCAGCCTAGTGGCTATATGCTGCACCTGCTCAAGCTTTTCTACCTCGCCCAGCGTGATGGGACAATACGCGGGAGAGCCGTACTCTAGCATTGGTCGTATTATCGAGACGAAGAGGCGAGTGGCAATATCTTCGGACCAAGTGCTGAAGCTGCGCCTGAGCGCCCAAAGCATCCGAAGGCTGTTTTGGTACAGCCTATTCGTGTTGTCAATGGACTTTAGGTCGCAGCGTGTGAGCACACCCAGGTCGCGCACGGAAGACGCTGGATGCAACGGTTGATCAGCCACTGTGTACGTTCGGCTGTGCTCGTATTTACCCAACCTCATGAATTGCGACTTAGCAGGGTTGATCGGAAGGTTAACCTCTGTAGACCATGTTGAGAGGCTGTCGAGATCCTGCTGAAGTAAATCACAATCATTGAGTGTGCGGATTACTCTCCACACCTTCAAGTCATCTGCGAACAACGCACACGGTGATTGGAGTAGCTTAGGCACATCGTTTACATGGATCAGAAACAATATCGGCCCCGGTACAGTGCCTTGGGGCACGCCGCTGCTCGATGAATACCAGTCCGTTAGATGGTCGTCCACCTGGACTCTCCACTTTTGATTAACTAGGAAATTTCTGATCCATTTGTGTAGTGATTGTTAAGACTGACACGGCGAAGACGGAATAAGCAGTTATTCAGACAGCGTTATAACCCAAAGATCGGCGCCCTAAAACAACGAAATAGATAGGACGGCAAGGAAGGAAGCAGCTGGATAGCAACTAATATTTAAGTCCCAGTGAGCTACGTCAGGTTGGCAGGGAAAACTGATGCTTCGCTGACACGACCATAGCAATCTACGGAACGAAGAATAATATGAGGGAAAAGGGGGACTTACCGGGGAACCTTAATGCCTTAATCAAACATACAGTGTCAAGGCGTCAACACCTTGTCAACAACATACCATCACAAACAGCTGGCTATCGTGCAAAGATAACGCGGCATCAACGGGACAGCTTAGCTGCGTCATAACCAGGCATTACGCTGCAGATAACTCAGTACGAAAAATTGTAAACAGGCAGCCCGACTACGAAACGGCAGCAGAGGCGCCACTGGTATCGACTGCGAGCCATTTCCTGTAAAATCTCGAGCCAAGTACAAGGCAAGACACGTGGACTCCAGCCTGGAATACGAGACGGACCGATGGCACACAGTTTGGTCAACAGTGATTTCAGTTACCGCTGACAAATCAACCTTTGTCCACCTCGAGCTTTGTGCCAACCTACATCTGGAAGACAAATCAAGGCCCTCCTCAGTAAACGGTGACCAGACATATGTAGCACGTGCCCGAGCCAACGCAATTTATTCAGTGCTATCTGTTGTTCTAGAGAGCTAGCATGATTGTCACTGCCTAGTACTCGCCCAAGTACATAATCGTTGCGGCCACGCTGGTGCCATCCGACACCAGCAGTGCTTCGCAGGCAACGATGATCAAAGACTTCAAGGCGCATTAGATCCTCAGATCGAAGAGGCCGTTTCACTCCCACAGAGTAGGACGGTCTTCACTGTGGCCTTGTATACTCGACCTTTCAAACGTAGCGAAACCCCTTTTTGTCGCCAGATGTCGCAGTTCTGGCTTTTGCAATACGTAAAGTAACTTCAGTTTGCTATGCATTCACCGTTGCTGACGCAGCTGCCAAGTTAAGTGAAATGATCAACTACCTCGCTACCAAGTGGCTGCAGCAAGACTGCACTGAAGGTGCGAAGCGCTTACCAAATAACGGGAGCACACTAGAGGTACAAGTCGGAGAATAGAGTATACATAGGAAGTTCTAGTGGTAGACCGGTACACAGCACCGACGCTTCGATGTCGCGCAACCACAAACAGTCGCGCGTGGGCTAGGAATACTGCGTCGTTCGGTCTCCTACGCGAGATTGAACCCGCGCCATCGGATTACAAGGAAACTTTGTGATCTTCTAGGACACGAGTAGGGGCACAAAGGAAAAAGAGCTTAAAGCGCGAGGCGTAAACTGTATACGCGACAGGTACCTAGCTCGGGTGGATGGATTGCTGTCAGTAACAAAGAATTGGAACCCAGTGAAAGGCAAGAACCCACAGGTAAAATATATGGGTTGCTCTCTAAGTATGTGCATTGTAGTCGGTCGGTGGCCGAGTGGTCTGTAGGTTTGATTTGCAACCATAAGCTCACCGGTTCGAATCCGCGTAGGGGTGGGCGTCCTCGCGGTATACTCAGCAAGCGCGCGACTGGTGGTGGTCGCGCGGCAGCGAAGCGCCGCTGCGACGTACAGCTGACACATTATTATTATTACACATGTGCATGGTTCGTCACCGAACCGGAAAGTGAAACTGATAAAATTGTCAGGTAAGTAGAAGCCCCAGCTAACCAATTTAGTTAAACTGGGACTGGAACGGTAGGATAATACCGTGAGTGCCCATTCTTCAGCAGGTAGTTGAATCCTAAGTTGACAGAGGGATGAACCTAAAGCAAACTGTATCATGACCGCCAATTAATTTTGATCTTTCTTGCGCTAGAATTCTCTGCTACGCCGGTTAGGCGAAAGGGAAAATAACGAGAAAAACAATTAATTACAACACTGAGGAACAGAAGAAAACTGGAAGTTGCGATCAGGAGTCGCTTAAGAAGGGGTTTGCTGTTACCGCTCAAGACCATTGAGCAGACACAAATATTACGACTGCAGATTCCCTAACCATGCATTCCAGAAGCGAGTTTCAGCAATCGGTAACTATCCGTACAAACGTCCCCAATCTAACCCGATTAGAGCGCAGTCTGTGCAGCTTCAAGCAGTGACAACAGAGACCAAGTAACTTGGCGGGATTAAATAGTTAATGCAAGCCCGGACCGATCTTTCTAATTAGAATACTTTGGCAATGCATTGCAAAACTAAACAAATACATCTGCCCTCGCAAACCCTTGACTAACCGAGTACCCCGGCACAAAACCCTTCTCTATTTTATCTCGGATATTGTCTGGTGGTATTCGGATTCCAAGGATAATATAAACACGCAGGTCTTCTAGTACCCAAGGGAATAGAGAATAAATAACCCCAAAGTTAAACATCCACAAGCAACCTTTCAGCTGTCAATACAGTGAAGCGGCAGAGTGCGGGACACCAAGATGGACTTGATGAGCGGCGAAACGCAAGATGCGAAGTACTCACAACCTTCCTAGATGTTAAGTAGATGTGGCAAACAGCACAGCAATTGCACTGAAGACTGATCACGCCGGATAACAGCGCATCCGAAGTTATAGCTATTCACAATAACAATGAGCGGAACCCACATTCGGTCGGTGCACGAAACCAGGAGGCAAGCACAACATACGATGGGTTGTCACATAGGCGATCCACAATCTGGTGATCCAGGTGTCTATCAACCTATGCATTCCGGGCTTGGAACACATGGTGCCTCACAGAAAGCGCATAAAACTGCTTACGGTTACATAATTGCGAAGAAGCAGTACAAAATACTGGCGTACCGCTGAAACCTTTCTCTGCCAGTAACACAAAGCATGCAAGCAACTGATGGCGGCGAACATCAGGCTTCGGTTGTATCAGAGATGCTAGTCAGTATAATCTCTCGTCAGATCGGAGATGGTTCTAACCTAGGACCAGTCGAAGCAAACGGAGCTAAGACCAAGTACATGAAAAGACCGAAGAGTAACTGTTCGGGCGCCATATAAATAGTCAAGAGAGCTATCCCTAGGAGATTCAATCAAAGAAGTGAGCCCAAGTGGATGGATGACATGTGAGGTAGAAAAGACGGAACAGGGAAGATATTAGTGAAAGATAAAGCCCGAAGGGTGGTAAGCAAGTAGCTAAAAATAGAGAATGCGGGGATGTAGGTAACGGGTGAGGTAAAGAGCTTCCTCGATCAGCTAGCGGTGAAACTGATTATGACGTGACATTAATGGCAATGGATATTGAGTAACCGAAACAGTCGATAAATCACTATTGATCGACGAAAGACGACGGTTGATATCACGGGAACCGGTAAATGGATTGAAGATCACAACAGCAGTCGCCACCAGATTAAGGTAGTGTACGACTGGCCTAACGGAAGTATAGAGCGCGTAAGAAATAGAGCAGATAATCGGGAGACGCGATAGCTACCGGATCATGAGATGTATAGCGGTGAAAACTACACAGCAACCGGAAGACCCCCCGGAACAATTTCAATGATAGGTGTGAAAAGCACCGGAGGCGCCATCAGAAATAACTGCAGCGGTGGAAGGGATACCGAAAAGCACATGCCGTCACAGTTTGGAACTGACATTCAGTGATGAACGGCTAAGTTACGATAATATAGTGCGCACACAAATCAGCTGGCAAACGAGTCGAAACCCAACAAACCCCCGGCAAGTGATTGTCGGTATAAACGAAGCGCGTAAATGAACATAGTTCCGGTGCGGCAGAAAACGCGTTTATTTACTGAAGTGCTATGTACAACGGGAGATGGTCCTGACAGGACCCGCCAGGAATGAGCTATACAGTCGTATGGTAAAATCACAGCAAAATTTGGACAAACATAAGATGAACCATAGGAAACACGTTGAAAGGAGTCAACCCTTTCACGATACTCATGTGGTGCGATACACTTAATATGGATTCTGTACCTACTGCTAAGGAACTCAAAAGCAGAGAAGCTGGTGAACCAGTTCAACAACGGAGGAGGATTAGTCACGACGGGCGGACAAATCAAATACCTTGGCTTCAGATACTGGCATCCGGGAGTGCGGACGAAAGCAAATGGCCAATTTTCGGAACATTCAACACGCTCTTTTTCCACATCTTCAGAGCTCTGCGTATGCGAAGACAAGTCGAGTGCACGTTGGGTTAGCTTTCGCTTTCTTGAAGAACGCTTGCGCGTAAAGTCCTGGAGGGTGAAGACTAGCAGAATATTACAAGTACCTTAAGGGAGTGAACATCTGCCGACGAATTAACAACTCGAGGTGGTTTTCGAGCGAAAGACTCCGCTTCTGTCACTGAGCTACCGTCCCAGTCACCAAGCTGATACCGCAGCTCGAAGCACCTCTTATCGGAAAGCACCAAAGCTTCCTTGACAGTTTCTCTTCTGACAAGTCGCGACAGTACCTCGCTGAGACGGGATTAGAAAGCAGATGAACATACCCCAGGCTCTCCATTTGTTCACGAAACAACAGCATCTTTTCGTAGGACTGCTCATCATTTTTTCGATTCTTTCTTGTTTGCATCTTTTCACTCCTTCGACGGAAAGCGACATATGGGTCTGTATTGCTGCCACCATCTCGCCTTTCATGGCGAACGGTGAAAAGTAGAGGTTGACGGGACTGGACGCGCTTGTTAAGCCAATAGTCGTAAACAGCTATCACGAGGGATGGCTTATCCTGCAGGATGCCTTTTGCCTCCTCCAAGTTTAAGACCTGCATTATAGTGTTGCTGAAGTAGCGCACTTACTCTCTGACCACAATTACGTTCAAGGCGATCGATCATTGCCTCAAATTTTTCAGGGCTGATACCGAGTTCGCTTCTGCTGAGCCAGTCTTCGTCATCCGTGTCCATGTCGTATTCGACGGGGTCTCCATCTGCCAAGACGACCGCTGTTTGGAGCGAGAATATACGGCGCAAAGAACTTACTTCGGATGTGGAAAAGCTGTTTGGGGAGTGAGAACCCGTTGGCGTACAGCTTTTTGTAAGACTCGATCTGGTCAATGATATCAGGTACGGGGATTTTGACATCTTTCTCTGAACGAAGCTGCAGCGCGTGAATGACTTCCACGAAATGATGTTCCTAGGTAAGATCACAACAGAGGTAGATACGATAAGCATAAATAAATAAGCAGAAAGCCTAAAGATAGGACAAGTAGTATAAGCATGTAAAACCACTTGGTGGTACATAAATAATTACATTCTCTTCCTCCTTCTCCATCCCGCTAGGGATTTGAGGGACACCGCGATTGACGAGGGCATTCTCGCTAAACTCCGTGAGAATGTCGGAACCATCCTTCAGAATAGGTAACGGCTTGTTGAAATCAATCTGCCTTGCACGGAAAGAGACCTTGCTCATAGCTAAAATAAGGCATCCTACATTCGAGTAAAGGAACGTACGTTAGTCCCGTGACTTTTAAAAATGCCGTTAATAGTAGCAAGACCCAGCAATTTTTTTTATTTTTAACATGAGTACCATCCGCCAAAAAGCGCAATTGTACAGTATCAAGGAGACACTCCAATAAGACACCCGTTTTCAAGATGGCGCAGACGGAGCGAGGGAGGGCAAAGATGGCTGCCGTTTGCTATATATAGGTTTCCCATATCTTGTTCGGTAGAAACTAAAACAACACCTATGTAACGGACCGCTGTAAGGAATTAAAAAAAGCACAATTCTTAAAAATAATGTGATAATAACAGTTTATAACATCACGAGCTATTTAGTTATCTTAGAAACTGCGTTCCTTTGCAAGTGTGAAGTCAAACCTACGCACTAGACCCAAACTCATTATTAACTAGTTTTTCAGGTTAACTAGTGGCTGCCGTCTAAGGTATTTTTACAGCTTCTGATTCTTTATGGCTGCTTGTGATGACAACAGCGATCTAGTATGGCCCTGCTGTCTCCATCTTTCACTTGAGTATCCGACAAGCAATAAGTTTTGTTAATCTAAAGTGACAATTACTTCTGACCTTTTAATTGCGTCAGCATACTGTAGCGCCAGCATATTATGGTGTCGGCATACTACAGCAATGCTCATTTCGTTCCGTGTTTTCGGTCAATAAATCTTTGCCTTTTGCTTAACTTTTCAAGTTTAGTTGGGACCGGGACGATTGTGATTGGCGGTTCCGTCTCCGTTCATCACCGAGAACTATATTCTTATCGTGATTGAGGCGTGGTTACCCATTACCACGAAACGCGCGAAGCACGCCACCTATGGCTTTGCAGCGAAAGCCTTGTCGCATTCGCACCACTGAGTTGAAGATACTACGAGAACGTCGAAATATTTTTCGGTTTTAGTTTCCTTGCCTGTTGAGATTGCTTCGTCTTACTGTTTAGTCTAAATTACTGTCCGATGATCCGTTGCAGTCCGTTATAGCATGCGTTGAGTTCAGCTACCGTGACTGGTAGAGAGTTTATCCAACTCCAGTCGCAGTAAGCTGTATATTTTGCAAATTCGTGCCTGCTACGCAGGCTCCCAACATCCCACGTTAACCATGTCGATATCTTGGAGATTACCTTTTAACATATTTCCTGTATTTGGCACTGTCCTGCCTACGGAGAGAAACGTATCTTCTAAGGTCGATTTATGCAACACTGCGCTGCAAGCGAACCACTTGTTAACACAGTTGACCCACTGTTGCTAGTGGGCCTCGAATTGTGTATAGCTGCTTGCACTCTAATGCATACACCGCGTGTATGCACGCAACGGTATGTCTGGGGCGATTACTACATAAATCTCGCCTAAAAGTCCGCGTGCGGCCTTATTTATATTGCTTTGTGTATACCGCCGTAGGTAATGAAGTTGTCGTTGCAACGATAGCCAGTCGATACTCTGCAGTTCATGATCGCAAATTATTGTCCAAGCACAAACTGACACTAATGTTTTACCATGTTTTTAGTAGGTCTATACCGTAGGCCATTAAAGCCAATAGCAATATGAGAACTCCTTCAGCCCGCCACAGCTTATTTGGGCACTGTTTTGCGAGAGGCGTGAAAGATATTTTGGACAAATAAAACCCTACATTAGCGCTGCAGGGTGTTTTGACCAAAGTACAGAGCCGTTATTGTATTTCAGATAAATTATACATGTAGGATGCGCATGATGTAAGTAAATTTCTCTCAGAAGTTCCGAATTGTACCTGAAAGTCTGGATGACCTTCCATGTTTGCACAGCTGGTGTGCGAAAGGCAAGGGTGTAAGTCAGATCCCAGCGGTAAGGGGAGGATAAGGTTGCGAATTTGTTTTTCGAAGCTTTGGGCATGCACGCAGCTATTACTTTTCCACCAGACTACATGCACATGTTCCATGATATTATGAGGCTTCAGATGACGTTCTGGCTTTGAGGTTCTAACTGTGGAGGCAGAATCAAATGCAGCTTCAGCTGCAACTAGAAGGTTAGGAAAATCCCCTGTGTGCTCCTTCTTGAGCGGATCCCTGAACCAGAAAATGTTAAGGTGCTACGAGGTCTTAATGGAGCAAAACGAAACACCGGAAGAACACCGTGGTCAACCGATTACTGCCCAAGTTCCATGCACCAGCAGTCCCTGCTGGGTAGGTCTCCTGAAGTAAGGATGACGTAGAAAGAAAGTGTTAGATAAAGAGAAAGGATGGTCAATAAAATGATAGGTAACACCAAAGTGTGAGAAGACGGACCGAATGGGAACTCAGAGTTGGAAAATGGATATGGTCAGGAGAAGGAGAACTTTCGAGTTGCCACCCAAGCGAGTGTAAGTGACTCTCGAAACGCTTAACCATAGTTTCACTGACGACACTTTCTGGAAGCTAGTTCCAGCGCTCAATAACTTTGTGCGATAACCGAGTTTCCGCCCTGATCCGGTCGAAAGACAGCTCGTATCGCTTCATGGGACGACCACGAAGCCAAAGCACTGTAGCCAGGCTAAATAGCCAGCGCAATTCCGGTGCAACCTTCCCGGTTAAAAGGCGGTAAGTAAAGAGTGGGTCTCCTCGTAGCCGGCAGTCTTGCGTTGAATAATACCCAAGCTAAGTAGAGGCTCGGGGTACGATTGCCGCCGTAACCTTTCGACCTATTTGGTACCCACACTCAAAATCCTCTCGAGCTCCGTTTTGTCCCCAACAAGGCAGGGCGGGCAAGCCTGGACGCAGTATTCCTATTGGGGCCGAACGGAAGCGAAGCAAAGTTTCACTAATATTTCAGCAGTTAAGGTCCCGAAAGAACGGCGTATTAACCGCAACCTTCAGAAACCCTATTGTGGTCTTTTTCCAGATGTATGCAAACCTGATTCTGCGCTTTCTATGACCAACCCCAGTCTGTTAGACTGCGCGCCTTGCATACTGCTGGAGTTACACAGGATGCATGCACGCGGTAATTCACCAGATTTCGTTTCTACTCAGATACACAGTGACTATTGTGGTTTATGTAACCTCGTCGCGGTATCGCGGCAACACAACACATTCTTATAACTGTCGCGACAAAGTAGCCCCTTATTCCTAACTAGTAGAATATCTAGGAATATGATGATACACCTAGTCTCCGTCCTTGACGATGTTGCTTTTGACGATAAGTATTCCATTGTAAACTAAGACCGAGCACCTTGCAGTCGCATCCCTTTTACTCTCCTAGCATTCTCGAAGGTCCAGCTCACCATCTTCTGGTAGCACCTTCAGCTTAGACGCATACGGATTGCCCCAGTTTGATCTAACCTCTGAGCCAAATGCATGGAAGTATCTTCACAGATATATTTCTAGCCGTTTCTAGCTGTTTCACAGCTTTAGTGCTCAAGCTCTAGCGCGCACAGCTTTATCGGATTTGGGTTAGTTAACTAACTGGACTACCGCGTTCTCGTGAGCGACCTCCGGGCCACCTAACGAGCACGTATGCGCCCAAGTGCGGTGTTTTTCAAGACAGCTAAGGAACAATTTATTATCCACTGTTTGCCCATCGCTCGCATCCAGCTTGCTACCCAGGTTCACCGGCATGCCTATGCCTTCGACCGATTAGCCCATGAATCTGGTCTGACTGTCGCGTGTCTGTGCGAGCAGGCACTACCAAACTGTGACCAATGCTAAATTTTGGTGCTGACCCCAGAGGATGCAGTGACCCACACATTTTCACTTGACTGGAAACTTAGATGAAGCAAGGCCGTGTGTGCTCTTGAGATAAAATACGACGAAGTCACTAAGGTGGGGATAAAGTGTGCACACTGCACTACTTCGTCAACACAACACTACATATGAAATTCCCTTCAGAACGTTTGAAGCTCAAGCAAGTAACCGACGCCTTATTGGTTTTACCAGCAAGTCGGGTTATTCATCTTGTCAACCGTTTATGTGTGCTCATGGCGCGGTGTAATACATCGGCAGAAACTAGCAAGAATTTCGTGATACCGATGTTGCACCAACGCCCGTGCCTGTGCGGGAATAATCAAGCCACGCCGCTACGCAAGAGACGAGAGCCAAACACGGTACCGCAGTGCGACTTCCTTCTCTCTAAAATATCTGGCGAGCCTCACTCTTATAAGCCATCAAATGACATCTGTAACGTGCTTCCACTGCTTGCAGCTGGCCAGCTCACAACCAGCCATTGGCAATGCTGGTAACTCCGAGCCAGCTTTCGTCCTTGACATGGGGACCCAAAGTCTCCATTAGGCCGCAGGCTGTAAATAGTTAAGTACCTGGGACCCGCAGTAGACCAACGCACATGTTCGACCAGCCTCCAAACTCTTGAGTCTTCTACTTGGGATCACGCGTTGTAACCAAGACACATTTCCGTCTCTCGTTCATCTACGCCGTCTTGCAACCTTCAACCATTGTACCTAAGTAATTAAGCTTTTTCGGCGTGTCTCGTTTAGAATCGAGAATTAGCCTTATTATTAAGAAACATTCACTTCCTTTCCAGCGGCCGCGTCTACCAACACGCACTTTGAGTCAGGTTCCGTTGGCATATTCACTGGTTTTTGCGTTTCTTCCAGGTTTACTTACGCAAACCTTTCTAGCTAAACCTCAACTAGTTCACAAGCGCTGTACATAAGTCAAGCTGTACTATGCTATAATTGGATTGTGCCTAGTCGGTAAAAGTACCTGTTGCTAAAGGAATAATATTGTCTTATTTCGCTTAGGTTTGGATAGTCTCGTGCGAAGTTGCGTTCCATCTAGGAACTCGTTCAACTGGCAGTAGTATCTGTGTTGCACCAAAGTGTTACGGGTCATAAGAATTTCTACTTTTGCCCGTTAGCTTATCGTGCTTTGATATAGTTTCGGGTCATATTCAATCGCGTAAGTATGGAAGTTGCTAGCAGCCCGTCATAACTAATTATAATAATTAATGAATGAATTAATTGTTAAATGATCTATTCTCGGTATAACGAAGCACACCAGTACTGGCGTGCTCAATCATATATTCAAGTGTACCTGCTTTTGTATAGTAAAACATTTCGTTTAAGTAACTGCCACAATCAAACTTTCGTAGTTTATGCGTGTGTGAGCTATTTGTCAGGTTATAGTGGGAGCCAGGATCACGCTAGCACTGGTGTGCGAGAAAAGCAATGGAAACGGTTGTGGCAATTGCCAAAGGTATGCGTGGTTTCGCCATGTTATCCTCCATGGTATCCTGAGCACAGG